GGTTGCGCCACGATAGGTTGTTTCTGATACGCATTCAATCAGGACTTCCTCAAAAGACTCATATGACTCGACTCTTATCCCACGCCTCTCCGCAGGAGTAAAACCCTCCTAGGCGTTCACGCCCCTTTAAGTCTTTACTCCCTCAGCCAGACGCAGGCCCTCTGCTCAGGTTGTGCCAAACAGCGGCCAACACTAAGGGTTGCGCCTTAGTGATACTAGTTATACCCCTAGTTGGGTCTCTTATAAATGTCCAAGATTAGCACAAGCGGCCAAGCGGTGTGTCGCAACAATACAAGCCTACTGCGGGACTACGTATAGACCTGTCGCACATAAAGGTATTTACTAGCCTCTCTGTGGGACAACACAGAGGGAGCACGACAACCTCTTCACGATTACAAAACAAATCACCGCCTGGTTCACAAGGCCATGGCCTCCCAGCTTGATCAGAGCAAGAAAGTCACACATCTTGATGACATCTCTTAAACCACACCATTTGCGACATCTAAGAATTTCACCAATAGTCAAGCAAAATTTGGTCCCGTTAGCCTTTTATTATTCAAAGTCAACCTTTCACTTATCAATCTTATTAACCACCTTATTTATAGAGGAGGTCTTACTTCAATAGATCTCTCAGTCATCCCTCTCTTGCTAGGATGAACTCTCTCACGACCTTCTCTTTAACACATCTTCCCTCTCTGAAGATGCGTCTTCCAAATAGATAATAGACAACCTTTCCATTCACAGGTGTCCCACTCATCATATGATTCATATAAAAAGACCAACTTGTGGGTCTTCTGCACAGCTCTACAATAGAACACTCGTCATACGAATATTCAGGATCCTCACATCCTTTCACAGAACAGACTGCGCTTCCTTGCCTTATTCTCGGCTCTCTCATCCGCCCATGGGCATATCGCACGAGTATATCAGCGAGTAGACAGTTCACATTCATCCAAATTCACAAGATACAAGATACATCAAGTATTTTCTTGCGCATATTTCACACCAAACCATCATCCATCATGCCAGGTCCACACGAGTGAGTGTGAGAGTGATCGTCATACACAACAAGTAGTCCCCAAAAAGTCTCAATATAATATACACTCAGAGATAAAATATCACACATGAAATGTCTCCAACATACACTCGGGGGTAAGATATCTTGTACAAAGAAATGTCTCCACACTGCGACTCACTCAACTCACTCAAATCCACACTCACGCGGGTATCCTCCTCAAGGTACAAGTCGGGTCTGTCTCTCGGAGATTGGGGTGTGGGCCAACTAAGTATGTACACGCCCCATTTACCATGTCCCGGTCCTCAAGATGGCAGCCTCAACAAAAGCTAAACCCGAACTGCTCGACAAATGTAAACAACACCTAGGTCTACATGATGTCACACAATCCTGATTCTAGTCCTATACGCAACATGTCGACCATATAGGAAACTTATTCCTGGTCGCTCATCTCCTCATGGTTTTGCCTATATAGTTGAGCCCTACCCCCATCGGCCGATCTTTCCACTCTCCTGCCCTGTCTATCATATATTCTGCCTCCCTCCTCTGTAACCTTCCCTTCAGCCTTGTCCTTCAGGAACTTAGGACACTGCAAGGCTCGATGCCCCTCCTTTGTACAGAAGAAGCAGGACGTACCAAACCACTTCTTGGACCTCTTCTTTCCTCTCTTAGACCCTGGCGATGATGGCGCTTCGCTGGCCTCTCTGCTCAGCTCATGGCTCTGAGGCATATCCAAAGGCTTCTCTCCTGTCTCCACCTCCTGGGTACTCGACCCTGGTCAATCCTCAATCCCCTCTGGCCCATACTCAGGCGTACCCAACCTCTGGAGCCCGCCCTCGATGACACCCTCCGCCTCATTCCCCATCTCTCTCTCAAGAAGCTCCTCTATCCTCTACTCAGGTGAAAACAAACTCACCTCCTCCTGCATAGTATGCACTGCCTCAAGGAGCACGCCCATGGACTCCTCTGCTGAGCCCTGAGCTGGGTTACCGCTAGATGGTGGCAGCCCCTCCTCAACTGCCAAAGGTACGACTGGCCCGCCGCTGCTACAGGTAGCGTCGCGAGCTCAGTAGGGGCTCTGAACTCGAAGGCCTCTCTCTCTGCCTCCCTCTGGGCTCTTGCCTCCTCTGGCCCTAGGATAACTCTCCCCATAGGTGGCTCCTGGCGAGGCTCTGCTGCAGATGGCTTTCCTGGCAAACCGTGTCCTGGCTGTCTCTGCTCTCCCTGTCGGCTGCTCTCTGGCTTGTTCACCTTTTTTTGAGATTGCTACCTCAGGCTTTCGATAATAGCAGCCTGACTAGCCACCAAAGCCCTGAGTTCCTGGATTTCCACCTCCATAACCTCCAGGCGTACTCCATGGCCTGCTTCCTTTATCTTCTTCCCTGCCAGATCGCTCTCCAATAGCTAAACCCGACTCTGATTGGCGAAGGAAGCTCCTCTCCTCTCTGCTCCCAGAAGTCCCTCCACATCTCTGGGATTTCCGGGGCCTTAGCTGGCGCGCTGGGTGGCTGACCTGGGAGCGCTCCTGCTGCCTCCGATCTCTGTCTTTCTTGCTGTTGCTCCGGAAGTGCCCCGCCGCCTCCAACCTCTGCCTCTTTTGCCATATCTCTTCTATCCTCCTGGTTCTTCTCGCCCTCTTTTCCTTAGCTGTCTCGCCAATTGGTGCCCTTTCCCTCGTGCGGAGGTCGACCCTCTTCGGGATTTTGCCTCCACCTCCTTCTCGGGCTGGCACGACTCCTGGCGTGGCTCTGCAGGTGCTGGCTCCTCCAGGTCTGGGTGCTCCAGGGCGTGAGCTGCTAGGTGTCTGTCAATCAGGGTCAAGGCTTCTCTTCTTACAGCTGCCCTCTCTCTCCTCCTTTCTGCTCTCCCCTCTGGCAAAGGAGCCTTTTCTGATGAAGGCAATGGAGCCTCCTCTCTCTGCAACCTCTCCCCTGCCTGGCGAGTGCTCCCTGGTGCATCCCCGAGTCTCAAGCCCACCGCTGGCGTCTGAGGGGGCGTGTCCTCTCCAACCTCTATCACTTCCTTCCCTGCACGTGTCCCCTCATCGCCCAGCTCTCTCTCTCGCTGAGTATCCTGGACCTCCTCCTGTGGCACCTCCTCTCGTGGCACCTCCTCTCGTGGCACCTCCTATCGCGGCACCACCTCTGCCTACTCTCCATGCACCTCGCCTCGAGGCGACGCTCCCCATCGAGAGACGTCCAGATGCGCCTCCAACTCTCTCAATGGCCCCTCAGATGTCGGCGCCTCCTCCTGTGTGCATGCTGGCGACATCCTCAATCCCCTCTCGGTAAAACGCTGGAACTCCACTGGTCCCAACCCACACTCAGGGTACGCCCCTCGCTCCTCAGCCTCTGGCTCCGGCTCCGGTTCTCTCCTAGCTAGGGTCTTCCGTCCTCCTCGGGATGGTCTCGCCTCCCTGGGCTCAGGGTCCCTTTGCCTCTGACTCCTCTGACGCCTCTCAACTCTGGGCTGAGGGGTCTCTGGCCGTCAAAAGGCTTCTCTCAGATGCTATGTGTCTATTCAATGGGCAACGGGAAAGTTTCAACTCCGTTGTACCAGTTGAATAGCCCCCGGGGCCCCGTTGAATTCCCGTTGAATGGTACAACGGGCCCTCCCCGTTGAATATTGTTCAACGGGGAGGGTGCATTGGGCCTCGGACACGACGTTGGACGCACGTGAACCAAAAAAAATATTGTCCTGTTGAATCCCGTTGAATCCCCGTTGAATCCCCGATGAATCCCCGTTGAATCCCGTTGAATCCCCGTTGAATCCCCGTGGGAAAAAAAAAAACGGACATCGTTCAAAAATTCCGGAAAAAAAACTGTGTTATGCAAAAAAATAAACTGAACAACTTTTGCCTCAGGGTCACATTGAAAATCTTCACCAAATTAGAAATAAAAAATAAAATATAAAAATAAGTTATTTATTTATTTTTATTTTTATTTTTTTACGTGTGTGTGT